AATGTTGGATACAGGCGGCCAATGGATACAGGACTGGCCAATATAAAGTCCCCTTGCCCCACCGAATCTGCTTGGAGATTACTCACAACCCACGGTCCATAGGTTACAATCCTTGTTCTGAAATCACAACCCACAGTCTAATATCACCACCCACGCTCCACTATCATGTCACAACCCATGGTTTGTAATGTCACAACTAAGAATCTGAAATGACAACCTTTGTTCTGACATTACAACCCGCAGTCTGAAACCGAAACCCATGAGTTGTCATGTCACAACCCACGGTCTGCAATCATGACCCATGTTCTGACATTACAACCCATGATCTGTAACTCCAGCCACACGTCCCCTGCACATGTACTCACAAACATGTACCTTGTCCCTCATTGTGTCAGCATTTCATGTCACATCACCTTGTTCAGTTTTTCTTTATTCAAAACTTTACATTCAAAAAGTTAGTATTAAACCTTTTGTTAACTTTGTAAAACTCAAAGTTCTGTTGCTGCAAAACAGGTTTGATTTTTACTTTCTTACAACTGATGGTACAAATTTTGCACAAAAAACATCTTCAAGAAAGCTTTCCTTTTTTCTGAGGATGGGCGGATAAAAATGTGTAATTTCTTCTTACATGCCTTACCCTGAAACATACAGTCACGTACATTGTACATGTACCCTCCATGTGTACCCAACATGCATTTCTGCTGCTCCATTCATCTGCTGCATTTGTGCTCACTAACTTCTCCAACTAACCACAACTGTAGTGTGCATAATAAGCATCAGAATCTGATAGTTAGTCAATACTAGATAGCCTGGTATCTGTCCTATACTAGCTCTAGTCTTGATATAGAAAAGTCTACCAATTAACCAAATAGCCTCATGTTATTAGTCATGACTGTACCTGTATATCAAGTCAATTCAAAAGTTAGTTTCTTTTTGTTACCTGACATAAAGGTTTATCTGATCATACATACACAAAATGTTCTATTCTAGGACTGTTTCTTGTAGTTACTAGGTAAGATTGTGTACTAGATAGAAGTCTTGTGGATTTGATAGAAATGGTAGGTAGCAAGGAAATGACATAAATGTTGCAGCTGTCTTCTCTTTCTCTACTCTGTCTTGTCCAGGTGACTAACAAACTAACAAGAGAACACAAAATTCATTTCAAATTTCATCAGACCAAAAATCACAAACATAAAGTTTGCTTTTTGATTTTTTTAAATGTTTTGCTTTTTAATACCTAATCCTGAAAGATTTATTTTGACATTTGCCATTGATTATTTCATATTATGGTAATCATCTAAACTTGAAAGTTACTTTCATACTTAAAGTTGAATTGTCATGAAACATGTGATGTAGGGAAAAGCTACATGACAAAAGTAGGTAGACCTGAAATCATGTGGGAAGTTGGAGAAAGCGTCTCTGCCTTCTGTTCATTTCATCTTCCTTCTCTGCTCTCTCTCTCCTTCCCTTCTTCCTCCTCGGCACACTGCTCAGTCCTTCTCTGCGCCTCTGCAGGCGACGCCAGCAGTGGGAGTTCCAAATTTGACTCCCCGCCCCCTCCCCACAAGAGGAGGTATTGGAAGCTCAAAAGTGGCGGGAGCTTCCGAAATCTTTATCGCTTTCAAATGGAAGGTAAAGCCACGTCTTTGTTCTGCAGACAGGGTGCACATACCTCCTGGAAATCCCTAAAGAATAAGAGAGTGACAACTGGGAAAGTGTATACATGTACATGTAGTTTTGTCAAACATTTTCTCTTGGCATGGAGAGTTCACATCTGCCATACAACGTTTAACAAAGGAAAAAATGATAATTGTTTGTTGTCTTATGTAAGAAAAAATACTACAAACACGGGACAGATAAAATCTGGTCTGTGTGGATAGGTGTTGACTGTAGACAGTCATACCTAATAGTACCTGTAGACTGTAATACCTAATAGTACCTGTAGACTGTAATACCTAATGAGAGAAAATTACCTAAGGGACCACCAAAAAGTGGTCACATTGGCCAGGTGCTCTTTATATGGAGGTGGCCACTGGTATTTGAATGTTCTACATTTCACACAGAGAAGGTGTCTTTCTCTTTCCAGAAAAGTTGTTTATCATGTTTGTGAAAAAAAAGAGAAAATTTCAAGAGATTATATAGCCTTAGAACATTTTTGAGAATAAATCTCTAAGCAAGACTTCTTCATGTTTGTCTCTCGTTGTCAAGAATGACTTATAGTGTCTCAGGGAGAGTATGTGGACCCTTGTCTGCACCTTGTAGCGTTTCTGCACTGTTATTTGTTACTTGGGGTCTGTTCTTGCTTCTCCATTTCTGCCACACACACGACGACTTCACAGCACTGTCCTTGTTACATCCCTTGTCTTGTCTTGCCTTTGTTATATCATCGCATCGCTTATTTGTATGGTCTCCACGCATCTTATGCATCTGAACCATAGACACAATGAGACATATGGGGCATAGATTAAACATTGCCAAGTCTTTTTTATACACTGTATGTATGTCTAAGGGCCAAAAAATTCCTGGAACAGTGAATATCTATTCTTAAATTCTGATCTGCACATAGATTGTTTCACCTGGTATATTTTTTATGTTTTTTCTTTGTTCTGGTGTTTTTCAAAGAATCAAAAGTTACATTTACTATGTAGCAATTATATTTATAACCACTTTTCTTTAGATTTGTCATCAAACAATGTCATTATGATCCTGATATGGCCCATCACTTGCTTTAAATCATAGCATTTTTAATTTGGCTTTTCCCAAGATTTTTTTTTATTTACCTCATTCCAGCAGACTAGATCACAACACCGCAGGCATGTGCAGCACTTTCCATTTATGATGTTGGTTATTCAGAGTTCGAATTGATTTTGTGAATAGGTGCACTAAAAATTTAGGGGCACAGGAAAAACTTGGGGTGCACAACATAAAATACATGTACAGTAGAATGTCAGCGAAACCTAATTACAGTATGGAAAGTATGTAAAAACTTCTACAACATGCCACTTGAAGTGACAGTTGGCTAATTGGCGATTGGCTTAACTTCTTTAAGAACAACAGGTTTAGGTCCAGACCAGCACCTAAACCCGTGTACCTAAAGTTTCGGTACACAGGTCCACAAAAAATATATCTACACTTTTCCACACCATATTCTACACAAAAATCATGCATCAAACTAACGTTTGCTGTTTCTTACAGAGACTCAGTCCTCCCTGTGATTTTGTCTGCATCTGTTTCATGTATTTTTACCTCCTTGCAGACTCAGATGAGAATGAGTTCTACATTTTGTCCCTGGACAACAAATCTTGGCAATTTGAAGCCCCCAACTCAGAGGTAAGTTTGGTAACTACTTGAACTTGGTTTTACTGCTGTAACAGTTTTTTCCTCAGTAACCATGGTCTTGTTGTTAATCAGAACAAATGTGCTCATCTTACTTTTGTGTATCCCAGACAATACTGATAGCTTTTCATATCATAATTATGATGATTGTATTGTGTTTGTTATTTCTAGGAGAGAGATGCATGGGTCCAAGCCATAGAGAGTCAGATTCTGTCTGCTCTACAAGGCAATGACAGCACCAAATCTAAGGTGAGTGTCTTTCAGTAGACATGTCTGTCCTTGTACTGAACACCATCCACACACAGGCAACTATACTTGTCCTTGGTGCTGAATGCCATCCACACACAGGCAAATATACTTGTCCTTGGTGCTGAATGCCTTCCACAAACAGGCAACTATGCCTGTCCTTGGTGTTGAACACCATCCACACACAGGCAAATATACTTGTCCTTGGTGCTGAATGCCTTCCACAAACAGGCAACTATGCCTGTCCTTGGTGCTGAACACCATCCACACACAGGCAAACATGCCTGTTCTTGGTGCTGAACACCATCCACACACAGGCAAACATGCTGAACACCGTCCACACACAGGCAAACATGCCTGTCCTTGGTGCTGAATGCCTTCCACACACAGGCAAACATGCTGAACTCCGTCCACACACAGGCAAACATGCCTGTCCTTGGTGCTGAACACCTTCCACACACAGGCAAACATGCCTGTCCTTATTGCTGAACACCTTCCACACACAGGCAAACATGCCTGTCCCTGGTGCTGAACACCTTCCATGCACAGGTCAAAGACACTGGGCTCTCTTCTGATTTTTTCACCATATTGATGTGATTCTGAATCTGATTCAGACCCTATGTTGAATGTTCCCGACACAGAATCGGAACAACAGCTACGGGGACCAGCAAGTGATTCAGGCCATCCGCAACATTCGCGGGAACGCCTTCTGTGTCGACTGTGAGGCACCAAGTAAGTTTTTTCAGCACTCTTCTGAAAATCATTATGTACATGTACATTGTATTAGCATCCCAATGTTGGGAAAGTTTTTAATGAAATCTATGAATTTTGAAGAAAATAACTGTGGTGACAAGATATACATGTCCCAAAGCTAAGAACTATAAAAAAAATTGACAAGGTTGATGTTGTTTTCTTGCATCACCTTCAACCTTTTCTCCAGAGTTTCCGATTTTGCAAGTTTGAACCTAGGTGTCCTGATGTGTATAGAGTGTTCAAATGTTCACAGAAATGTTGTCAATGAAGTTACCCAATGTACACACAAAAAAAAGAACTGAGAAAACTAAATTGACAATGTAATCCAATGTCAATTTAGTTTTCTCAGTTCTTTTTTTTTCTCATTTGCCACAGCCATCACATTCTAGCATTTTTCTCGACAGATCCAGACTGGGCTAGTTTGAACCTGGGTGCCCTGATGTGTATAGAGTGTTCAGGTGTGCACAGAAATCTGGGGACTCACCTGTCTAGAGTGCGGTCCTTGGACCTGGACGACTGGCCGACGGAACTAGCCACGGTCATGACGTCCATCGGAAACTCTCTGGCTAACAGCGTGTGGGAAGCAAACCCTCGGGGCAGAGTCAAACCAACCCCCAACTCACAAAGGTCAGTGGATGGCACTATTAACAATCTCAGATACTTTTACACTTCTCATGTCATGTTCCGACGAAACTTCCCTGTACATAGGCCAGTACATGTATATATCCAAAGCTTTAGTTGAAAGAAATCATATTATATCCGACACAACAAACTGATGTACACTCTAGTCTATACAGTCATATATAAAAACTTGTACATTATCATGTCAGCCATGTTCCATATATATACATGTACTATATGAACTTTTGAAATAGAATGTTATTTTCGATACATAGAACTTGTAGGTAATACTGTACACGTGAGAGTAGATGCTAGCTAGATATGTAGTACTGAAGAGTTTGCCATGCATTGTACCCGTTACAATTGTTGTGCAATAAAGATTGACTATTTCCAGCCTTGCTACTGATATGTGAAACATTTATAAAATGGAGAGAAAAAAATACATAGTATTTCTTAGACTTGAACTTGATGTCTTCCTTCCCACAGAGAGGAAAAGGAGTCGTGGATAAGAGCGAAGTACGAGAGAAAAGAGTTCCTGGCGCCGCCGCCCTATCCAGATGTTCCCATTGGCCAGCAGCTACTGGAGGGGGTCACGCATGACGACATCCGTACCGTGGTGCTCCTCCTGGCGCATGCTAACCCTTCAGAGGTGATGATTTTTTAAAATTTTTTTTAACCGAATTAAACATCATTTTTCCCCAACCGGGGGTTAGACGTGCTTGCACCAGGTACAAGTCTTTTTTTTTTGAGGCAAGATTTTTACGGCTGGATGCTCTTCCTAACGCCAACCCAAACCCTAGTAGGGCCCAGGAACCCTCTAACTTTAGTGCCTTTCCCAAGGGCACAACGTCTGGGTGCATGTCCGGACATGTCTGGGTCCAACCCTGGGGATTGAACCTGGGTCTTCTTGCTTGACAGTCGGATGCTCTATCCACTACACCACACAGACGCCAGATGATGATTTACTTATTGTTTTGGCTGTTCGACTAGGGCTGCCAAACTAGCCTGTCGCTATTGCAAAGGGCTTGCCCTGCTGCCAAATAATTACAATGGAGTTTGACATGGACAGCATCATTTGAAAGCTTATATCTGTATACAAACCATGTGACCTAAGTTTTAAAATTATTGCTGTGTAGAAACTGCTCATACCATAAACCAACATTATTTACATCAAAACCATTGTTAAGTACTCTGACAAGATACAGATTTGGTTAGACTCTGTTGTATCTGTTGGTTGTACATGTACATTGAAGAGTGTGACCTTTGAGTTTGACTAAGTTATTTGTATTCTTGCCATGACACTGTCCTGTGCTGACCCTGTTCTGTCCAGGTGAACATGACACTGGAAGGGGACGGCCGGACTGCCCTGCACCTGGCCTGTACAATTGGCAACATAGTGGTCACACAGCTACTGTTATGGGTAAGCTGGACACCCCTATGTCATAAGATGGTTTATCTTGAAACCTTCAGCAGTAGTCTCCAGTACAGGTTTTCTGGATCTTATAAAAGTATTGTTGATTTTATTAACTTGAGGCTTGTAGCATCTCTGCAATCAGTGGTCAGGATTTGAACCGAGGACCTCTGGATTCTACATGTAGGTCAAACACCACATGACCCCACTAAGATATGTAACCAAACCAACTTTCTGTCCTCAGTACTCAGCTGACTTTAACATCACGGACCGCGAGGGGAGAGCCCCCCTCTGGTACGCCCGTCAGGCGAGCAACCACGATGTCGCCGAACTTCTCATCCATAACGGTTGCCAGGACGACAGCATGACCACGCCCAGCCTGCAGAGGAGAGTGCCGGCCAACAACAGTGCTGTGTTCGACAAGCTTCCTGCTAGTGTAATATAAATTATGAGTTATTAAACGTGATGAGGACTACTTTCACAAGTGGCACATCTTATAGGAAAGGAACTAAGCTCTCTCTGTAAGTCTGTAAGACTGTTTTTGAGTACAAAGTTACTGCAGTTGATACAAATATTTACCAAAAAAGGGGTCAAAGATGCTTGCACCAACAGGTCACATATTTTGACTGAGTCATTAAAAAACGATTGGCAAGTGGCAAAATATGTACAGAAATAAACATAACTTTTTGTCATGATCTCATTGGAAGTGCAACTTCTTCCTTACCATGTTGTGGAAAAAAACATCAGATAGATGGCATGTCCCTTTCCTGTACATATGTGCCAACTTGTGAAGTCCATCTGTGTATCTATAGGAATCTGTACAGTCTTGGAACCAAAGAATTGTGTTATATATTGTTTCTTTATTTATGGTTGTGTTCGTGACTGCTGTATGCATGTGTGTGAGGAGCGAAGCCCAAGTGCTTGGGTTGTAAGTGTGTATGACATGATGTACCTTGCAAGGCATAAGTGTTAGTGTATTCAAGCTAAGTATCAAAATACAGTATCTAATAGCAAAAAAAGCTGGTTATGCCCATCAAATATGTGTAATTGTAAGGGTGGAATTGAGGAAATTGTATTCATGTTTTGTTTAAGGCATTGGCATAATGTTATGTGTGAAAAGCCCCTTGAAATGATGCACTTTAATGTCACACATGGCCTTATGCTTATGCTCTTGTTTAGATATTTTTGTTGTTGTCTAGATAGCCATGTCAACAAACACCACGCACATAACAGTATATGTTACCAAATAAACCAAGTCATACCTTTTTACCTTTAAAAAATAGATCATCGAGTTTCTGCAGTTTCGTGTCTTGTACAGGTCCGATATGTGCATGAAAGTTTTCTCCCAAATGCAACACATAGGATGGCTTGAACACTTGACTGTTTGCAACAGTACACTGTACCCTTTGCACGCAAGTCAGAGAGGCACCTGGTAGTTTTGATGGATAATCCCTAAGAAAAGTAACTTGTGAACAGTTGCAATGTTTCTGACCAACAGTATAGATATGACAAATGTAAGGCAGTTGGGTGGTAAGAAAGCTGAACTTAACACTATGAAAGTTACAATCTTTTGTACTTCCTCTTGATACTTTCCACAATGGGTTTTTGCACAGTGCTATTTTACAAGATTCTGATGGTATACACATTATATTGTTGTAACCAAGGATGAATTCTATCATGTTAGCTACATTGTCTAGAACAAAACACTTCCCTAAATGAACATTCTTGAGAGTTCCTGTGAGACAGTTTTTCCATGATTGCCACATTTATGTATAGCAAAGGTCCCTTTTCACAAATTGGACATTAAATGTCTTCTTCCAAAGGCTCTGATAGCAATGAAACACAACATACCACAACTTCCACTGTTAAACACATGCCCATGTGTTTGAATATTCTACCTCTATGTTTAGATTATACAATTATAGTTTGTTTTTGTACTTTCAGAAATGCATGTGGGATACATCAGGAATTTTTGCAAGTTCTTTTGGCTATGGGTCCATTTTCACATACTGGCACTATTCTTCTTGAAAATATTGATAAGTCAGTTGTCTAAATGAGGTAAATTTGAGATAAAAGATTCACAAAATGTAATGTCTAAAGCAAGGGCTAAATGTGAATGCATAGAAGCAAAGAGAAGGTTGACATTTATTTCATTCAAATTTTCACAGCTGTTTAATGTTGGAAATTTGTTTCAAGAACTGCATTGAATGTATTCTTTTGATGTGGCCTTAGCTTGAGATGAAAGTTCCTGTTACAGAAGAATGTGAAAACCAACACACATGGGTGCTTGTAGGGCTGTGCAACCATATTCAATGGCCAGGAACATGTACATAACGTTACATACATGTTTGATAAAAGGTTTGTACCATTACACACAACAAAGATCTCGTCTATAGTTCTTGGAAGTTTTCAGGACTATCGCTGTCTCTTTGTCAACAAAATTGTCGGGTCGCATCTTAGAATTCTTGCCTGTTGTTGATTATCACATGACGAGACAGTTGTTCGCAGGCCAGAGGTTTGTACATAATTACATGTCAGTTCTGTGTAACATTTTCCTCAAAAATACTAAAACCTTTCGTCTACCCTCAAACAAGTAACAAGCTTTCAATTATTGTTTGCTATAAAATATTGCATGAGCCATAAAAGATGTCTTACAAATACTGTAAATCCTACATATATAAAATGGGAACAAAAGCTTCCGAGTTGGAACATAGTGGTTTACAATCAAGCCTAGATGGGTGTACTTCTGTGTACCATAGACATGTCTTCACAGTGTTGGTCACCAAAGTTAAAGGTCCAATTTAAGGTTTTCATAGATAAACTGTGGAGACTTACATTGTAGAATAGGGAAGAGTAAACCTATGGTTATGTTTAATTGTATGCCATATTGTAAATATTTCAGCATTAAAATGGTCTCCTGTGAATGTATTATCAAAACTTACTTCTCCATATCATGTTAATTGTCATATTTTATGTAAATTGTCTCTTTTTTACAGTGGAAAAATAGGCACAGTTGTGTCAATAATTAGAGACTCATGATATTTAAAAAAAATCTAAACCTCCATTCAGATCCTGTTATTTCTTGTTGGAAATGTTGAAAGTTTTGGAAAGAGCAAATTGCAAAATTAAAATGCTGTTCATTAACTTACCAAACAGAGGGTTTGAAATGTCTGGCTGGTGGTTTGGTTTTTTTCATGTATCTTGTATTTCTGCAATTTTGTGGAATGTTTATTAAATGCACATACAATCAATCTTCCACATTGGCAATCATACTATACAATAATGTCTGTACAATGGTGCACTTTGGTAGTTGACAGCCATAAACACTGATACATGTATGTTTTCAAAGAGTTGCTTTTATTTTTTACATTGTAATGTATCCCCTTATGTCATATTATGTAATATTTGCATACCTTCCAAGATATTTTTATTGATGTTCCCTGCATAGTTGGATGCTTGTGAATGAGAGCCACAAGTCTTGTATGTAAAGAAAAAACAGTTAAGAGAAAACTGTTTTTTTTTTCTCTTGCTCTGTATTAGGAAACTTTTGTGAGCTGTGATTGGAGCAGCACACAGTGTGGTTGGATTATACAAAGAAGGTAGCCAATAGAAAGTTCTGAAACAAAGCGTGTAGATCTTCGAGGTAGAATTTTGTGAAATGAAGGTCAACATGTCACCTTGTTAACGATAACACTGAATTATGATGCTGTTAACCAATCAGAGGTGCTCTTCTCCTGCAAGTCTCTAGTTGTAACCTATAGGGAACCAGCATGCTTCTGATGTCATATCTGTTGACCAATAAACTTCATGCCTTTTGTATGTCTGAAGTTTATTGAATCCAGTTAATCATGTCTTGGTAAGACGAGATGCATGTGTCAAAGGATGGATTTTTAACTTATGATGACTCCAGATGACTTTCAAACAAATGCCCCTGCATTTGACAAACCATCTGCAATGGGGCCCAAACCTACGTCACTTCTTCCCGAGCAGAAGAGCTACCTACCATCCAACAATCATGGCCCTAGCATGTCCAAATCACGAGATATCAAAAACGTTCAGCTGCAGTACCATAACAATCTGCCAGGGGCCCAAAATCTAATTTTGAGCTCTGCCCAAGACCTACCCACCTACCAAGTACTTTTAGTATCAAGATAACCCATCTAACCCTTGCAGCATGAAAGTTCATCTGAGTTGGTAAATTACATTATGAAAATCTTAAACTTTTCTCCAACTCAGAATTTGACTCACCAGAAATTTTCGACTGAATCACTCAGTCTTCCTCAGCTATCTGACCCATCGCTCAACCGGGACGGGGGACGATATCGACTTCAGACAACCTTTGACCCTTTGCTGACGTCACACGTGGGAAAAATCAGGTGTCCACAGCAGTTTTTCATAACCATCTAACCCTTCTCGACTAATGCTGTTGACAGAAACATAACCTTTTTGGCAGAGATGATGTCAAGGTTCCACAACCGATAACAAGTCAAGATATCGGTAGTCCTTCCTGCAGGGCAATACTGACTGATTCTGCCATGAAGTGCCATAATATAGCATATATCGGAAGATATGTAGACTGAGATTTTTTTTAAAAATGATGTGCCTACTTTCGTCAGGATATATTTATATGATCAATCTTCGCTTTATTGATCGATCGATGATGTCAACAACTGTGTCCATAGCAAAAGGGTGCGGTCCATATGAGGTCAAAGTTCAAGGTCAGATAGCAAGGTCAAAGCTACCAATGTGCAACGAGAATAGTTTTGCTACCCTAAACGCTATAAATTGGTTTTCCCGTGTGTGGAAGGCATGTTCAGCACCAAGGACAGGTTTTCCTATGCGTGGAAGGCATATTCAGCACCAAGGACATGATCCAGTATGCCCACTATGGGTATGCCTAAACACCTCAACTGACCGCGTCTTGGCCGAAAATGCAGGGTAGATGGGCTAAGAACTCTTTGTAACGCTCTGGATACATTGTATAATGTAATTATGAATATGAAAAGCACCTAAACGACTTAACAGTATAGGAAAATTGGACAAGAGTGTTATGTTTCATACTGTGGTCACATAACAAATATTCGTGAAAACGTTTATTCGCCGATACCAATCTAGTACCCGGCGGTAGATGCTTTTTAATCCATTTTTTTTACCCTGATATGAGATTATTAGTCTTCGTAAATATATATATCACTTATTAATTCCACCATCTTCGCCACATAATTATAAGTGCCTATCACCGAGACAGACCGTCATTGGTCGTCATAATAAGATTGCCAGCTTCACATTAATTAAACACAGCCGTTTTGCACACCTGTGTGAAAAGTGGCGTGGTCCCTTCAAAATGGCGGTTTCGCATGACGGGAATATTCTTGGCTGATTTTCTTTACAAATTTTTTGGTAGTTTTTAGAGTTTTCGTCGGTAGAATGTTTTTGCTAGTGTTCAGAAGAATGTTGGGAAGTTTCAGCCGCGGATTTGTGCCGTTCTGGTTATGTTTTGAAGAGAAAATGCGGATTGATGACCTGGCGAATTTCGGAGAAGATCCCAACAAAATGGCGAGACAGTTGGGAAGAGCGTGGCATGGAGACGAACTTCGCTTACAAGTATTGTTGCAGGTAAACCAGCAAATTGTTTGACTTACATTATTCCCTAGCAACTAAAATACGAATATGTCAAGTTGGTTGTAGTCTGTAATAGGGGTCTAGTTCTGTATTTATATATAGAGTGGCCGTTCCTAATTTTAGACAGGCTTTGAAAAACTTCAAAAAAGTCTGTCAAGTTGCCGCGTTTTCAACAACATTTTCAATGTGCAGTGCGCTTGTACAGTATAAACTGTATGTGCATATGTCTTTTTTGTCAATTGTTCAGCGTTTTGAGGTTATATTTGTTGAAAGAAATTGTGCATCGACCAAACCTTTTTCTTTGTCTCCACGTGGTCCAAAGCACCTGTTGGAATGTGCCCATGTCACATAATTAGATATTTTTGATGATCCCGCCAAAAAATCGCGAAAACAAAATAGCGTTTTCAAGGCGCCGAAATGAATACTATATAAAACGTTTGGAAACTTAAGTCTAGTTGACCATACTTTCTTCATTATTAATTGCGATGCATAATTTGAAATTTTGTTAGTTTCAATTGTAGACTAATTCACTAGTTGTAATGACCAAGTATTTGTGTGTAAATTGTGGTGCGAAGTACAGTTGTCTAGGCTGGAAGGTTGCAATTGATGTTTTTAAAAAAATGGGCTCGCAATACTGGGTGCATGTGCACCTTAGTGCACCCAAAATAGGAGCTGTGCACCCTTTTTTTCTGTTGTGATTTTTGTAGGTATTTTTGTTCATATTAAATGTATACAATATTCAGTAATACTTGATATTCTTGGCATCTAAGTGTCAGAAAATCTTTTTAGGTTTACACATGTCAAGATGTTAAACGTATAGTACTAAGTAGTAGTACACAGCATATTCTTAACATCAAATAAGGCCTAACAAAATAAATGTTGTGTTTCCTATTACAGTCCAGAAAAAATTAGGGTCGGTAGGTAGGGATTCCCTTTTTTTTTTTTT